TTTTTTTTTTTTTTTTGCTAAAATAGACGTAAACTTTTTTTTTCTTCACTATGTTTGCATCAGATGTATAATTCAATCTTTGTAGGAAGGAATAAAACTTGTTTGCTTGGATAAACTTCCATGTAATTATTAATTTTCCCAAGTTTTTGAGCATTTTCATTTGGATGTGAAGGATAATTTGTGGAACTAATTTACAATACAAATAGCTGAGTCAAATTCCTAGATTAAACAGAGTAATGACTTATTCAGGTGTGTTAGAAGAATTTAAATATGACGTGGGTCGAAGCTATGTGTTTAATATAACATCACGAACTGTTCTCAAAATCATCAATGAACTTAATGCTGATGTGACTTATACTGCACAAGCATATATTTCAATTCATTCACCTTGTGAATTCTCACTCAAAGTAATGTTACACGGTACAAGAAGACTGTTTAAGTAATTCAAAGCAGCCATCAGTTTATGCATTAATTTCAAATAATATATTCTAAATTAGCTTCGCACTTAGAATATAATTGATCAAAATTAAATGATTTTATGAGGCTAAAAATTTGAATTGAAATGTTTCATTAGAAAGATTATTTACAAATGGAAATTGAATACTGGATGATCATCTTAAATGTATTTTTATCACTCTTTTGCTGTTTGTGTTCATTAAAATTTCATTCAAAAACACTGAAAATTTTCAAATTTTTCATGAATTTGGTAAAAGCACAATGTTTACTAAAAAAAACATTTAAGATAAAAAGCAAATGAGCTGTTTTTCTAGAACAGAATTCAATATATTCAAGTATACAGTATCTGATTCATGTATATTTTAGCTATCTCACACATCGATTAATGGTATAAACGTGGGACGTGATTGGAGTTATGCACTAGAAAAATTTCCTCTTCTGTTTACATTCGATAATGGAAAAATTAAAACATTATGTGTACATGAGGCTGAACTTACATGGGCTTTAAACATTAAACGTGGCGTACTGTCCGCTTTTCAAGTAAACTTCGGTAATAGAAATTATTTGGCTCTTGAAAATCAAAACAAAATATTCGCATTTAAAGCTACCTATTTTTTACTATCTCAAGTCTTATTCATAATTTATGTAAACATTCTTTATTTTTTCTGAATAATGTTGAAAGTAATTATAAAAGTTGAAATATTCATAAATGTCAAGGAAAATAATAGATTCTTGAACCTTGAACCATTAATGAGATATAAGCATTTCATATTTCTTCATGTTACGTGTAAGACTAATTTCTTTATCGGAATCATTCCATTAAATACATATTATTGATTATGCAGATATTTTTTGCAATATTACATGAGAATAGTTTGGTTCGTTCAGATGAGGGACGAGAAACGGATATTTCTGGTGATTGTCCTGTGCTTGTGGACAAAAATAAACGGTCTGGTTTCTTGAATCTAAAAACAACAAAGAACTTGAACGCATGCTACCGTGAAAATGATATGAACGGGATAAGAACTGTTCCTTATCGTTTTCAATCGGTTTGTTCTTAGCAAGCAAACATGCAAAATTTTTGCACAATTATGCATATTGTGAATGAACAGCTTTATGCTTTAAGTATAACTTGAAAATTTTAGGCATTTTATTACATTTTGCATTATAATAAACCGTATATAGTATATATTAACTAACTGAACTATTTTCTTGAGTTCATTTAAAATGTGATTTAAAAAAAAGCAAATGTCATTTTTCAAGCTAGTTCAAATACACTTAGGATTCGATGTCATTACCACTCAAAGAAGCAAAACAAACGTGTCATCGCGATATTGCAAGTCATTACCTTCAAAGAGTAACTTTCTGTTTTATTTCAGTATTATTATCAAATAACAGCAATACGTGAAATGTATCATTTTCCGTATTCCGTTAATCATAAGTTATAATGTAATATAATAGTTTCAGAATTATAATGTATTATATAAGATTTAGATATATGAATAATGCTGAATTAATGCTGCAGTCAGTATTTTAAGTAAACATTGTAGTCATGTTTTGTAAATTTCTAAGTTACGGTCAGATTTATTATTAAATAAGCAAAATGATTACTTTAAAGTTATGTACTCTATAAAAATAAAAATGTTTAAAAAATTAAATATTTTAGGTGTTCTGCACAGAAACGTACATGATGGAAGCAGGATTGGGCAATAATAGTTTATTTACGTTGCATACAGATCAGACGTTACAAATTGCGGGAATCGCTTCAGCTTTAACAAAACCGATTTTCAATAAGCATTCATCAATTTTTTTCGATCATAGTGATGATGAATTAAAATTACAAACATCACCTCACTTTGCCTCGCAATTACTTCATGAATTATGTCAGCAAGTTGATCGCGTTAATCTCAATGTAAGATCCTTCACATCGATCTATTTCTAATTATTTACTCATTTCAAACTAAATGAAACAATTTTTGCACTATTCAGTTAAATGAATGATCAAATTACGAAGTATTAGATCTTTCAGTAATCCAAAAAGTATTACCTAAAATTTTAGTAAATTAGAATCATTTCACACTAAAATATGTTCATTGTTAGGCTGCTTCTAAATTCGCTAATTTGATCTACCACTTGCGAGCTTTATCACATCATCAGTTATTATCTATTTCTAACGTGAAATGCGATGCGTTTATAGAGGCATTAGCTGCGTGTGCATCACATGCATGCCTCAAGAAACTTACTAATCTGATTAACTTGCAATATGCTCCAGAATCTCTTTATCTTTCATTAGCACTACAACCGAATCCAAAATTGTCAACATTAAATTTTATTGCAGAATTTATTGAAAGTATTCCAATTCATGGTAGGAATGATTTTCTTCATTTTAATGCTAGTTCATTCAATATTGCTCTCAATTTTTTACTTTACTACTAGTTTAATATTTGTAGTTTATAAATTTGTTAACAGTTCATTCTAGATTTTTGTTGTTCATAATAAAATAAATTACTGTTATTTTGTCATCTCATTCTAAGTAAGAGAAAACCAAGAGAACAAGGACTGTGCGAAAAAAAAAAGGATAAATATTATGATATGATGACTGAAATTTATGAAGATAAATGAGATGAAATGAAATGAAATTAATACTGCAGATATTATGACTATATCTAGCAATAAATAGCATTATTGTGTATATTTTCTTGAGGTTTGCTATCGGTTACATCTTTGGTTCAATCATATTGCTTAATGCATTCTACTTGTGGAAAGGAACCTACAGTACAACGTATTGTGCAGAGCATTTTATCAAGATTACCTTCAAATTGTAATACTGCTCAAGAATTTGGAGAAATTAAGGTAAATTTTGTATGAAGTTTCAATTTTAATCGAGTAAGTACTTCAAATTTTAGATGTATTAAAATAATTTTTACTGTAAAAATTTTGGCATATTTTATTTTTCAATAAACTTAAAAAAGCATTACTTATCTATTTGCAGAAGACAGTTGTAATTTTAAAAGCAATTGGAAATATTGCTGACGAAGAACATTCTTTGTCAACTTTATCAAACTGCATAGCAAATGGTCGTATTTCAAAAATTATTAGACTTGCTGCGATTGATGCTCTACGTAGAAAACCTTGTAGTGATCGAAGAAATGCTGAAATTATCACATTATTTTTTAATCAAAAAGTCTCTCAAAAGTTTCAAAAAAATCTTGTTTTAATTTATTAACTTGTAAAATTTAAAGTAATGAATTCGTAAGAAAAGAATTTTATAATTGCACTTTATGTTGTTAATGACAGTGTGTATTTTGGAAGATAATGAAATTGAATATGATTGTAAGACTTGATAATTTAGTAAACTACTTTTTATTTTGAGATATTATTTAAAAATTCAAAATATTTTCAAAACAAATTAAACTTCCTGGTCTAAAAATTATCTAATTTTAAATTTTAGATAGAGTAAGGTAACAAATAATATCTTTTATTTTTACGTTAAATACTTTACTACAAAATTGCCAAAAAAAAAAACAAAAGAAATTCAGTCATTACAAAGTACTTTTAAGTAAAATGTTTAGCTATAAAATTTTCACTTTGTCAGGAAAATGTTCGAATACGAATTCAAGCTTTTCGGCAACTAATGGAATGTCCAAATATAGAAATACTGGAAAATATTGAAAAGGCATTACTTAACGAAACTGTAAATCAAGGTATTATTTTACTGAGATTGTGTTTGGTTTTATTAAATTAAATGTAAATTATAGTAAATAGTAACGATTATTTGTGTAATATCAGCATTAATCATATACTGATTATTTGTAGTATTCATCATAATTTCGACTAGTAAATGTGATGTGTTAATTAATAAAGGAATAAATAGATTATTTATGCAATTAAGCATTCTTTTTTTACAGTTAAGTCGTATGTTTGGTCGTATTTGAAAGCCAAGCAAGAATCTTCCAATCCTGGATTTCACAATTTACAACGAATTTTGAAACGATTACATTTATCTGAACGTTACAATTTAAATCCTTACCGTTTTTCACGCTACAGTGAAATTGGATACTACAATCAAAGTGTAATATTAAAATACTTTATACTGAATTGGAGAGAAACTTTATAACATAACACAAGAACTGTTACAAGCAGAATGAATTTGAATGATTTAAACAATCGTAGTAAATATGATTTAGATGATCTTATTTCAAATAACTTTAATTATTGTTATAGTTTATTGCAATTTTTTCCCTCCATTAATTTTTACAACCAGTTTCATTTTAAAAGTATATATTTCAATTTATGCTGATATTAGATCATTTCTAATTCGTTATCATAAAACCATGTTTTTGATTTTCTGCAATATATTATTTATTTACTTTCTAACATTTCAAAATTGTAATTTATCTTCATAGTATTAATAGGCTTGATATGGAAGCAGTCCACCCCTTCGCTTTCAAAAAAAAAAATTAACTCGCTTACTTGTCTCTAAAATTTTAATACTCCATTTATTATACTCTTAAGTTTAGCATTATTAATTTCAGACTAATTATGGTGGCCACGTAGATATGTCTGTAATATTTGAGCCTGATAGATACATTCCGTGTGAAATTAACTTCAATTTTACTCTTCATTCCGCTGGGATAAGGTTTTGCAAAACTTTAAACTCTCACTAACTTTCAACAGTTACTCAAAATAAAAATGAAATGAATAATAGCCAAATTAAAAATTGCTTTACTCCATCAAATGTTTGAAAAAGAATTTTACTCAAAAGTTCAAGTAGTAATACTTGCATGTATTCACTACGCGTATTATTATTATAGATGGGTTAATTCATTAAAATTTTTCTGATAATAATAATATGTAAAGTAAATTGCTTACAAAATGTCAAATACAAAATTTTAAAGATTCAATTTTGTGATAGAATGGAAATATAGCATTCATAAGTTTTATTTTTGATATTATTTAATTTCAACTTTGATTGAGAAAAATGTTCGTCATCATTCTAATTTATATATTTGTATTTTTTTATCTTGCAGCATGAACATTTTCGAAATTGGAGTACAAAGTGAAGGTTTAGAAAAAGCAAATGAAGAGCTCTTTGGTCCTGATGGATATTTTACGAATCCTAATGGCCACGTCTTTCGAGAGAAAAAGTTTCAGTCTCTATATCCAAGACTGAATCATCTCAAACAACTTTACGCTTACAAACATCAGTCATCTGACAATCAGATCAAAGCGGCATTGCACATCAGGGTAGGAATTTTTGTACAACAGTATCTGTGTTCGTGCTCTACTTTTCGGTCTTACTATGTTGCTGCATATTTATAAGAATTCATATTTAGCATAAGATCATGTGATGATACATTTATAGCTCTTATTAAACTTTGTAAAGTAATTATGTCTTTAAAAAAAATTTTTTTTTTCAGATGTTTGGAGATGATTTGCATTATTACAGCATTGAAAGAGATGATTTTATGAATGTAATAAAAGATAATATTGAACTTGACAAAGTATTATCTAGAATGGCTCAAGAAACAGTAAAAAAGGTAGTACCGAAATGAATAAACTTTCCAGAAAAAAAATATAAATTAGGAAATGCTTTAAAAGTAATATTATCAGCTATAATTATGAATGAAAATAATTAGTTTCAAATCTAATAGTTCATGAAGCAAATCATTCTATTTCATAGTTCGTATTCAAAAAAATTATTCTTTGCTTTGCCAGTCATAACAAGCTCATATGAACCGATTACAGTAACATGTAATTTGACATTCTGTACTCCTGAAATTACGTTCATATTTGTAAGAAGTCTTAATTGCTTCTAATTCTTAGATTCACTTCAATGATTTTTTTATTTTTTGGACAATATTGCTAAGGTGATTATTAATAAGTATTATAGATTTCCCGTCATACGCTTATGTTCGAATTATGGCGAACATTTCCTATTCTTTCTGGATTATCATTTCAAATATCAGGCAATATGTCATTGGTTACAAAGTTTGACAGCAAATTAAAGTTGAATCTCATCGATTTGTTGCACCAAAAGAGTAACGCAGAAAGCTTTGTTAGTGATTAGTTCATAATTTCATTTAAATAAATTTTAGAAATTCCTATCATAAGTTTCTATTTTTCAAAATATTTGAAGTTGCTAATGCATAATTCAATTTTTACATTTGTAATTTAGCTTGATTTACGACCCTCATTGTCACTGTCACGTGAAGCACGCTTGGTTTTGCGGGCTGGACATGTAACATCCGGTACTCTGATATCTTCAAACTTATATGCTGCAACAAGTATTATACGCAGTATGAAAATGACCGGAGGGCAAATATTCTCATTAAAAATTGATACTCCACATCATGATATTCTGATTGCCAAAATTCAGTTATCATTTTTTTTGTTTTATTTATATTTAACATGTATTTCAGACTAATTTTGTCAAGAAACAACGTTATCACTCAAAAAAAATGTTCCATTAATTAATTTATTTCAAATCTTATGGTTCGAAGTCCACAATTTTCTCTTCTTTTTTGGAAATCTTTAGAGAATAATTTCAAAAAGAAACTTCAAATTTAAATTATCACTTACATTTTAGCACAGATGTAATAAGAATAGAAAATAATCGCTATCACCCATCGCTTATCAGCATACGAAAGCCAAAAGAGCGTGGAATGAATTGGATGCATCGTTGTACCGGTGAAACTGTAGCGAAATTTCTTGGAATCAAAGCGTGCATTCAGGTAATACATAATTTACATATTTTTTATATTTATTGGATAAAATTGATTTTCAAAATTTAAAGTTTAAAAAAGCGATCACTACTTCTTGAATAACATTTTTGCCTTTTATTTTAGTCAAAGAATTTTTATTATTCATATCTTTATATTATTTAGTATTTTAATTTTCTTCATTTTCAAGTATAATGTCGAGTTTCCATTAGTCAATGGATTTATTGAGGTGGTAAAAACTGATCGAAATTTGAATAGCTATCAATTTTTTGTTCAGAAAACAAGCAGTGTAAGTTTTATTGTACTCATGTTTTTCCATCAGCTTTCATCTAAAATTCGATACAATTTTTTTTAAATTAATAACTTTTATTGGGGACTGACTAAATTATTTCAATGTTTTTTATCTCCAGAGTTTTTAATAGCCAATAAAATATTATATCGAAGTAAAATACTGTTTAATTTTATTCAAAAAATTTAATTACATGATAATACATCATTTGTAAAATTACAGAAAGATGAACGAAAATTGCTAATTAGTGTAGATACACCTGGATCAGAAATAAATCGTAAAATAGAAGCTGATTTTGAGCTTTCATTCCCACGGAAAAGATTCAGATTTGGTATCATAAGCCCATTTAAAACTTTTCTGTTGGATGGTAATCTACAAGAAGTAAGATATTTGCATGATTATGTGAGCAGATTTAAGGTTGTTCTCGATCGACAAGAATATCATCTGGATGGTACGCTTAAGGTAATGCAAATTTATGCTATTCAAAGAAAAATTTGCAACATTTTTGAGTTGTTAATATTTTGGTTGAACAGGGATTTCTATCAGTAATCTCTATTATTAAAATGAAAGTAATTATTTTGTTTCGAAATGGATGTTGATAAATTTATTTATATTCATGAATTCTTGAAGAATATTTAAAAAATATTCTGAGGAAATTTATGGCATTTAATGAAATTATAATCAATATTTCGTTAATCTGAATTAATGTAAATTGTATTTAGGCAAATAAAATGGGATCAAGAAATACATACAGTTTAAGAGCCAGAAGTGTGGCTGAAAGTCTCAACGATGCAGAAGTTGTAGCAGAGGTACAATATAGTACAACAAAACCTTTCGTATCTGTCGACTTTACTCTATCCAAAGTTTCTAGCAAACCGGTGATAATCAAGAGTAAGATTTTTTACAAATTTTACACTATAACTTATTAAGTAACATATATTCCTTTTTTTAAAAAGATAGATTTACTGATGAAAAATGTATTCTTAAATATATTCTTACATTTTTACTGCTAAATTTAATAAACAATGATAGTGTTATGAATTTTTATTTTGAATAACTCACATGTAATCATACTGTTGCATGAGAATTGCTTAAGTTTATCAGAAGTGACTTCTGAAACATGGCTAATTATGATCAGTTTCAGTTTTGATGAATCCAAATGCACCAAATTACGAAGGTAAACTGGAATATTCGGGAATTGATTTTAATGGAAAGCTGCATGCTTTATTAATAAATCAAAAAATGTTAGACCTAAAAGGTACTATACATGGAGAATATCAATGGGCCAATTATGCAAAGCAAAGTTTTCAAGTAGGATTGGAACAACAATTTAAGGTTTACAATTCTATCTGCTTAATTTAGACAATACAAGTTTTTCTATATCGTAAAACTGATAAAAAATAATTGGATTCAATCGACTAATGTAATTGCTGAAATGATAATCTTTTTAACTAGTAAAATAACAAATTAGGAATTGCATATTTTAGCTGATAAATTTTTTAGGAAGGAAAACACAGTCATTACTTCAAGCACAATGCTCACATTCTTGGTACTACTTTCAGTCAAATCGAATATTACATTCTCTCAAATCGTTCTGGCAACAGCATTCATGCCGGATTTGGAACTAATTATCTAGGGCAAAAGTCAAGTGCAGCTGTACACATGATACGTGAACCTAATGATCTTTACAACATTAATTATAATGTTTGCTTTTTGTTTATTTGCTTATTACTCTGAAATGTAATACGTGATAGAAGCCTATAAGTACCAATTCATTATTTAATTATCAAGTTTTTATAGATGTAAAACTCATCTCATTCAAATTGTGGCAATAAAAAATTTGAAATAAATTATATTTAAATTTAGGTAAAATGCGATCAATTTGGGATAGATTTAGCGACCAAAATCATTTATCAGAATCAATTTCCACGCCAGTTTTTGTTACAGTTTGATACTCAAACATCAACAATACAGAATCTTCATGCTTCTGCAAAATACATCACTAAGGCTTCTTTATCATTGTCATATATTGTCTTTTTTAAAGAAAAAGAATCGTTTAATGAATTCATATTTCGGTCTTTTAGGTCAGTCCTAAATGGAATTTTAATGGGGACATTAAATTATCCTATCCTGGTCGTGAGATAGCATTCAGAAATGAAATAGATGAAACCTTCCATGGAAAGTATAAAATGGAAACACATTTACAATGGGATTCGAACAGTCGTATAGATGCAATTTCAGATATCACATTTCAACCACAAGTAAGCTGCAGATTATAAGATAAATGTTTACCCGAGATCATTTAACAACATCGCAAGCTATGATTTATAGCAAAAATAATTTATCAATCTCTTTTGTCGTTTGCAATTTTTCGTTTGTTTAAAGCACGAAAATTTTATTCCCAATTTGCTAAGCTGTATATTAATCTTGTAAATTAAGTATAAGTCATATTCTTTGACCAATTTTCAAACCGTCAATATGATTATAGGAGCATGAATATGCTATTCATTCAACAGCTACTATTTCTGGATTACCTGAACCCATAAGTATCAATAAACAACTAAAATATCATAATGACAGCTACAGGTAATTTAATTATATGTTCTTATTACCGATGTAAGGTTTGTTTTGTTAATGCAAATTTGATCTAAACACTGCTTGTAAAAGTAGCAGTACGCAGGATAATTCTTTACAATAGCACTTAATCCAGTATTAGTTTATGTTAGTTGATAAATCTAAATTTAAAACAAAGCAAGTTTTTCTCTAGATAAGTTCTTATCAAAATTTTCAACGAAGTACGAAAGCTGTTCATGCAGTTTTTTATACTTTATTGATAAACTATCAATTTAGAAGTTTTTAGCTTACCCTGGCAATCAGAACAGGGACATACTACAATATATGACGTTAGGGGTATATTTCGTGGTCGTTTCGGTCAGCAGCAGAAGCTTGACGTTAGTCTGAAACTCGAAAAGTTTGGATTAGAAATCAACTATCACATAGTAAGTTAAAAAAATGTCACTAATAATTAAATATTTCACTAAGAATACAAGGATATTTCCCAGGACTATGTTGAGAGTTTAAAAATTCTTTATCTATAAAATTTGCTAGCATACTTTATACATTTAAATGAATAAAATTTTCGTAAAAATAGATATTTACTTGTTTAGTTAATCTTTCCTATTAAAGAAAGCGAATTTTGAATTAAATAACTTTTTGTAATTAATACTTACAAATTAATAATATTACTTATATTACATTATTTAATTATATAAAATTTAGTTTGTATTTAAAATTTCAGTGAAAGCATTATTAGTTTTTAAAAATTTTTTTGCATTATAATAATCTAATTGCTATTTGTAAACTTATAATGATTGTACTAAATTTTTACAGTTTTTCGAGTTGTGTAGCTTTACTGAAGATTTTTCAAAATTATTTTTAAAAGTTTTATGTTGGGATTTTTCATAGATGGCCGAAATTCAACCACACATGGATACTATCAAGACACATGCTACTATATTCAAAGATGGTTATTATTTGGGTACAGGTGACATTATATTTCCAAAAAATTATAAATTTTCCAATCAACGATATCGTGGTGCTTTTCTTTGGAATCATCAAAACGTAACATACGATTTTAACTTTTTTCTGCAGCTAATAAAAAGAACTTAAGAGATGGTGTTTTATCCAAATTGTATACCGGTTTTACTACAAAAATCGAAATGTCTCATTGACTAAAAGAATTCAGTAAAACTTTTAGAAGCGCAAAAAAAAGGCTCCTTCTTTTGATCATTTAAATTACAATAGTGAAACTGACAAAAAAAATCAACTTCACTTATCAAAACTTCTGATTTGTGTTACATTTGTGAGATTTTGAATAATAATTTGTTGCATTGAATTATCAAATTTTTCATGCCATGTATTGATTATAGCAATCTCGTAAATTAGCTCTGGAGTACAATAGGCAGAAACATTTGCATGGCTTACTACATGCATTAAGTATGGAATCTGATGATGATACTAGTCTAAACGTGGAATTCGATCACCATCACAATAGAATCAGTTTGAAATGGTTGTGATTAAAAATTTGCCTTGTGTAAAAAGTAAACATAAACTAATTGGAACACTCTCAAATTTCCATTAAATTTGCATATTTTTTAAATTTCTTAAATTTTTTGTCCTTCAGTCGAGTACACTACCATTTTTTGACTAGTGAAAGAAAAACAGAAAACATAGACTAAGTATGAATTCACTGCTTTATTTTTTTTTCCTTTTAATAGCGGAAATATAAGTGAAAAGTAAAATTTTCAATATTTTCCATTACAGTAGTAAATTTATTGGGAATAATTGCATTTTAGTAACTTTGATAAGAATAATATTCGTACAATCTCAACAGAATTGCTAGCAACAACACTTAAGTGGGATTCATTTGAATTCATTGGACAATTATATACAGATGAACCTCTGCAACGACAATTACTGAAAACATTAGTTGCTTACAATTATAAAATGAACGAGGTGTTGTTTGTTTTTTGAAGACTTCAAGAAATTACTTAAAAATTTTTAGAAATTAAATGCTAGAAGATTTTTTTGCATTAAAAAAAATTGTCTATTGAAATGATATCTAAAGAAGGATTATAGAATTGTTATCATGATAAGTTTTTACTTTTTAAATTACTCAGTTAATTTTGTGATTTTTAGATAAATGTCAAAGGATTGTTTGAAATGAATAGTAGAAAGTATCTAATTCAAGCTAACTGGCATAATAATCAGCGGAATACTTATAAGCATTACAGTTATTCAGGAAAAATCGAAATACCACAAGTAAGAATTCGAAAATTAAAAAAAGTTTTTTTCACTTACCATAATTTTTTCATAATTATTTTTCTAGTTTTTGCATGAAATACTGGAAAGAATTATTAATAGCAAACTTTTATTTGATCTTTTTATTAATAGACTTTTTTATATTTTATCATTTACTGCAATTTTTTTTCTTTTTACGAAAATAATATTTATGATAACTTTTTGAAATAATAAAAGAAGAGCATTTATTCATTTGACTTTATTTTAAAACTATAAATACTTTTGCGAGATATTAGAACAAGGTTTATTCAGATTTTAATTTTAGAAAAGCATAAATTTCAATCAAGAGCTGGAAGTGAAAAATGTTACCAAGGTATGGAAGGTAAATACGTCTTTAGAAATAATAATCATTGGAAAAACATATAATCTAAATAATGTGATACGCAGCGATGATAGATCAATCAGCGTTGTTTCTGATTTGATGGTAAGCTGATCTTTTTATTACAAATTAATATTCTTATTGTTTCTCCCAAAGTATAATAACTTTTTATCTAATGAGTTTAATATATTATTACAATATTTTGAAATAATTTCGTCTCAAAATTTATAATAATAATGAAAAAGTAACAAATCATCATGATACGACAATTTTACTCTTAAATTTTATTTTCATTTTTCTATGCAGTGATAAAATTTACAGGGAAATGATAATGTAGTGAAATATATCATCGAATATTATCATAATCATGGAGACAGAAAGTTGAAAAAGCATTTAACGTATAACGGAAAAACGATTAACTTTAATTTGGCAACGATTTGTCATGATGATAGAGTTAAAATAGATGCTGCTGTAGCATCGACATTCGAAGTACTTCGTATCGGCAAGGTACTTCTGAAAATTTCTGAGAAGTTAAAATAGTTAATCGCAAAGAGCGCTCATAAAATTAATCCCTTGTAAGCTATTTCAGAATGAGAACAGTTCATCACAACTGAGCTATTGTTTTTAAATTTTTATACTATTTTGCTGATTTTCTTGTTTCTAATTGTTAAAATTTCATTTTAGGCTATGTTTCATTGTCAGAAAGGACCAATATTTTGGAATTGTGAAGTGGAAGGTAATATAAATAACAGATATGTGATAAAGGGTCATGAAAGTTTAGATTTCATAAACACTGATATTGGTTATGAGGTAATGCTTGGACATTACAAAAATGGTGAAGGAAACGTCAAATTTATTATCGATCACGTTAGTATATTAAGTTTAATTAATCTTCAATTATTTTTATGAACAAGATAAAACTTTTTGGGATAATTGCTGATTTGTTCAAAGTTTTCTAAACTACAAAAGTAACGGAATAAATTTAGCATGCTGCAAAATACAGTGTTAATGCATTATTACGGAATGCAGAACAGTCGTACAATTTTGACATGAGCGTGAATAATTACACAGGTACCGTACATTTCCGCACACCTACATATACTTTCGATGTCATAAAGGTAAGTTCTTCAAATTTTAACTATATATCCAACAAAAATTTTTCGATTTTTTCATTGATGTGCTTGGCTGTAGTTTTGTATTTCGTAGGCATAATATTTTCCTTCACAGTATCATTATGTCGGTAATGAATTCGATATTTGTTAAAAAACATTATTATGATATTCTTAACTACATGTGACAAAACAATGTGTTTTCAATACTTTAGTAAGCAAAGTCAAATGTCGTAGTTTGAATGTTAAAAGATAATTTTTAAAGCTTAACAGTGCATGAAATCCTTTTACTTTCATTAGTAGTTGATATTCTGAATAATCTTAGCAATAATTATCATCTATTATTATTGTTCAATGTACTGAAATTTATTTTTCAAATTCTCTGAAGATAAAGAAATGATACTAATTTAACTAATTAGTTCATTTTTTTAAGATAAAAGTAATTAAAAAAAGTTCCGACGAATTTGAAATTTCTTCCGAAAGTAGAAATCATGGACGAATATTTGCTCATATTAAAAACAGTGATTCCGTTAGAAAACTCAAGCTACACGTAAGTTGATTAAGTGAAAACCTACTAGTTATAATTAGTCATAGAAATTAATAGTGCTTCAATTTTGTTGCAAAACTCGAAGTTTAGTGGAAATTTGTTTTGCCGCTTTTTTATATTTGATTTAGAAGCTGTTCTTCAGGTAACCGAAATACCAGAACCATTTGAGTTGCACATAGAAAATAATATAAAGGGAAATGAGCAGAAATCAGTGGTTGAACTTACGCTGGATCCATTTCAACTAAAAAAGGTCAATGGAATTATATTGACATCTTTTGTAAATTAATACCTTTGGAAAATTAAATTTGAATTCATTCAAAGACATGTGATCAATGAATGATAAATCAAGTATGAAAAATTTTAGACTTATGGTTTCGAGAATAAAATTATCGCTCAAAATGGAAGATTCAGTGTTTTTGAATCAGTTATAAAACATCCTTTAAAGAAGTTGCAAATTGCATTACTTCGACCGAATCCAAATAAATACATTCTTTCAATACAGTATGTGTTTACCAGTTCTGAAAAACAATTGTGGTTTAAATAATTGACAATTCAAACAATTCCATTTTAAGTAAAATTTATTCAAATTTTTAGTAAAGTTCCAATACAGGTTAATTTTTTAATAAAATCGAGAACGTGATATTAACTGACTAATTAATTTAGACCAGATGTTGATAGACATATGCAGGAAACGGTGGCAATGATTACGTGCCATTCAATTGAAAATGGCTGCTACTGGGAAGGAAGTTTCTCAGATCGAGCACTGGAAAGACCTCTGAAAGCCAAATTAATTTATAAAAAAGATGAAACGAACGCACAAAATTATAGAATGCATATACAAACTGAAGTAATGAAATGCATTTGTTTTAATAAAGTCGTATAAGATTAATCAAATTATGATTTTCAGTTTAAAAAAATTAAAGAAGTAAATTATCCAATTATTTCTGAGGTATACGAGAAATTAACAAAAAAATTAATTTATTACAGTTTGACTATAGTGGTCAACCAGAAAGATTGTTTTCCAATTCATTGCATGTTTATTATGGTATTGTACCAGCAAAATATCGTAAACGAAGTATATCATCTCGAAAAAGATATGGTGATATACGATTCCTGGCTGAACTAAAGAGTACTCATTTAGCAAGGTTAGATATGATAATAATTATTAGAAAAAAATAAAGCTAAATACTCGCATTGACTGAATTTTTATTTCAAATAATGGAATTTCAAAAAAATTATAATCAGCTGAAGTATATTTTTTTAATATGTGTTATATTTATTTCAAACTTACTCACTCATACTGTTTCATTTGACTTGATTCAAAAATAGAACTAAACTTCTAATAAAATGTTTAGTGAAAGCCAACAAAGTATTTAAAATGCTAATAATGCTCGAGACACTATGTTTTTACTTTAAGTTCCCTTGATACTCGTGCATGGATAAAAATTGACCGACGGATTGTTGGAAAAACAGCGATTCCAATACATACTTCATTGGGCTTAAGCATTAATAATGCTAAACAAATTCCTCGATCGGTGGAATACTCACTTGAAACAAAAACAGATACAGTGAAATTCATGGAAGCTCAGCTAAAATTAGCAGACTCTTCATGGAAAACTAGAATTGAAAAGAATAGCAATAAACCGTATGCTCTACAATTTTATGAGGTAGCTGTAAGGTTTTACAAAACATTCTAGTTTTACAAAACATTATAAAGTTCTAAAATTTTATATATTTCATGACAGTCAACAATATCAATAGCATACATAAATTTCCAGCGTCATATTCTTAGTGCATTTATGTATTGTATAAATCACGAAAACTGAATGAAGCGTAGTTCTTTTTAAATTCGAGTTATAAAATGTAAATAATTAACAGCAGAATCATAGAGTTAAGAGTAGTTCGTGTTTCCACTTATGTGATCCTTAAAATCAAGTTTAAAAAATGACAATCATTACTTTATTGATATCTTTATACTGCTTTTTATGTTATCTGTTTCATGAAACAATAATTAAAAAATGATTAGCAACATCCAAAGATAAATAAATAAATAAATAAAATTTAGAATAATAAACAACCGTCTTTTGTTGGAGAATTCAATTTTGGTAAGTATGGAGCAGTTTTTGAATTCCGTGATGAAAAATTACATGAAGTCAAAGTTCATCTTTCTGCTAAAATGCCTAATGATTACGAGGCAAAAATTGATCTATGGCATAGTAATGAGAAAAGAAAAATCCAAGATGTTCTTCTAGCTCTTCAAGTAAATGCATAATTTCTTTTAAACAACTTCTATTTTATCTCATTGATTTATAAATTCATTATCATAATTGAATGATCAAAAACAAACTACTTAATTGTTACTATTATATCTTAAAACCATTTTAGTATGCTCAAGAGAGACTTTAAATTACTCATCTGATCTTTAATTAAGCCCTTTCCTATACATATATTTATTTTATTTGTAATCCATCAAGTTCACAAAAATAGATTAATTATGTATTAATAATTTATAGATGAAAAGACAGAATCTGTTGACTGGTAAGATGTTTTTGCGCGCAGATTTGCAAACAGACATTACGGTAAATACTTTCATATTTTAGCAAAAAAAAATTTATATATATATA